TCTCTACTATAGTCCCAGCTACTTGGGAGGCCGAGACAGGAGAATCACTTGAACCCACGAGACTGCACCATACTCCAGCCTGGGTGACAGAGCAAGACTGCATCTCAAAAAAAAAAAAAAAAAAAAAAGGAATCAAGAAGGTGGTGTGGAATGTACATACAGGTCAACTGAATAGAATTGATAGTACAGAAACTCCTACCTTTATGGCCAACTGATTTTCAACAAGGGTATCAAAATACTTCAATAGGAGAAAATATAGCCTTTTCGACAAATAGTGCTGGACAATTATAGGTACATTTACGAAAGAATGATGTTAGACCCCTTCCTTCTACCATACGTAAATTAACTCATGTGGAGCACAGACTTTCATGTACGAGTTAAAACTTCAAGACTCTTAGAGAAGGAAACAGAAGAATAAATCTTTATAAGCTTGGTTTGGCAATGGTTTTTTAGGTATGACACCAAAAGACAAGTGACAAAAGAAAAAAAATAGATAAATTGGACAATATTAAAATGGAAAGCTTTTGTATTGCAAATGATATCATGAAGTGAAAAAGAATATAGATAATGGGAGAAAAATATTTGCAAATCATATACCTGTTAAGTCCTATATACAGAATAGTCAAACGACTCTCAAAACTCAATAGAAAGACAACTGCATTTTTAAAATAAGTAAGGATCTGAATAGATATTGCGACAAAGAAAGATATTCAAATGACCAATAAACACCTGAGAAGATGCTCAACATCATTGATCACTAGGGAAATACAAATCAAAACCATAAGATATTACTTTACTTCCACTAGGATGGTTATAACCAAAAAGACAGATAATAAAAAGTGTTGGGGATGTGAAGAAACTATAACTTTTATTCACTGCTGGTGGTAATGTAAAAAGATACAGTCATATTGAACAACGGTTTGATAGTTCTTCAAAATGTGAACATAAAGTCCACATGACACAGCAATTCTTTTTCTAGATTACACCGAAGAGAAATGAAAACATACATCTGGCTGGGTGCGGTGGCTCATGACTGTAATCCCAGCACACTGGGAGGCCTAGATGGGTGGATCGCTTGAGCTCAGAAGTTCAAGACCAGCCTGGACAACATGGCAAAACCCTGTCTACAAAAAATACAAAAAAATTAGCCAGGTATAGTGGTATGCACCTTTATTCTTGGCTACTCAGGAGGCTGAGTTGGGAGGATGGCTGGAACCCAAGAAGTAGAGGTTGCAGTGAGCCAAGATCATGCCACTTCACTCTAGCCTGGGCAACAGAGCCAGACTCTTTCTCAAACAAACAAAAAAAAAAACAAAAAAAGAAAACATACACCCACAAAAAGACTTGTTTGTACATGAATGTTCATAGCACAATAGCCAAAAAGTAGAAATAAACCAAATGCCTACCAATTGGATGAATGGATAAATAAAATGTAGTATATCTGTACCATGGAATGTTTTTGGCAACAGACAGGAATGAAGTACTGATAGACAGTACGAATGGATAAACCTTGAAAATCGAAAATATTATGCTAAGGGAAAGAAGCCAATTCCAAGGAAGACCACATATTATATGATTCTGTTCATACAAACTGTCCACAACAGGCCTATCTATAGACACAGAAAGAAAGTAGATTAGTGGTTTCTAGGCCTGGAAGGGGAGGGGAATGGAGACTGATTGTTAATGGGTACAGGGATTTTCTTTCTTGGTGATGAAAGAAAAAAAAAAATTTTTTTTTTAAACCATAAAACATTTTATTGTTAAAAAAAGGTTTTTAAAAAAAATGAATGTGAATTTATTGTGCACTTGATTGTTTAAAGAACTGTCAGATTATAGGTGATGGGGAGGAAGGCAGCAAATCACACTGCCATGTGTGCACCCATGCAACAATCCTGCATATTCTTCACATGTACCCCAAAACCCAAAAAGCAATAAAAAAAGAAAACAAAAAAACTGTCAATTTACACCAGGGTATGCAGAAAGCCTGATACAATGGCATTCTAGTCTATAGTGTCATGAATGTTACCTATTGAAAACAAATATGCTATATGTAGTAATATATATGAATTATTACTATATAAATATATATTTATGTAATATATAATATATAAAATCTATTACTTTATATATGTTTATATATAAATTATATACTATGAATAATAAATTATGCATATAATTACCAACATTTATGTGTGAATATTTGATAATTAGTAGGGTTTGGGTCAGAAAAAGTTTTTAAATTTATTTTTAGTTTAGATTCAGAGGGTTCATGTGCTTATTTGTTATATGAGTAGGCATTGCCTGCATAATGGTGGGGGTTGGGTGGGCGATGAAAATGTTTTAAACTTATACTGTGGTGAGGGTCACACAACTCTGAATATACTAAAATTCACTCTCAATTATACATCTTTTTTTTGAGACATGGTCATGCTCTGTTGTCCAGGCTGGAGTGCAATGGTATAATCAAGGCAGTGTAGCCTCAACCTCCTAGGCTCAATCGATCCTCCTGCCTCAGCCTCCTAAGTAGCTGGGACCAGAAGTGTGTGCTACCACACCCAGCTATTTTTTGAGGAGATGGGGGTCTTCTATGTTGCCCAGGCTGGTTGCAAACTTCTGGGTTCAAGCAACCCCCCTACCTTGGTGTCCCAAAATGTTGGGATTATAGGCATGAGCCGTGATGCCTGGTCAAATTATATATATACTTCCAATAGGTCGATATTATATGAATGCTATTTCAGTAATGACATTAAATTTTTCTCTTCTAAAAGCCAGAGAGCCAGAATGGTGTTTGTTTTAAGTTATCAAGGATCCTGAAGGATCATAGCTTTGGAAAGAGTTCTGATTGAAAGCAATGTGATTTGGAATGGCATTTAACATGAAGCTGATTTACATAGTAATATATTCTTGTTAGTAGTGAAGAGAAAAATAAGAAATGAATTCAAAGCTCAGTGCAGTGGCTCACACCTGTAATCTCAGCACTTTGGGAGGCTGAGGCGGGTGGATCACTTGAAGTCAGGAGTTCCAGACCAGCCTGACCAACATGGCAAAACCCCATTGGTACTGGAAATACAAAAATTAGCCAGGCATAGTGGCACATGCCTGTGATCACAGCCTCAGGGATGCTGAGGCAGGCGAATCACTTGAACTTGGGAGGCAGAGATTGCAGTGAGCTGAGATCACACCACTGCACTCCAGCCTGGGTGATGGAGCAAGACTCTGTCTCAAAAAAAAAAAAAAAAAAAAAAAAGAAAAAGAAAAAGAAATGAGAAATGAGTTTGAGCAGATATCAATAGTTCCATAATGTGAGAATCAGTGGTCTAAGCAGAAGAGAAAATAAAACATATAAGGTATGACAAAGTAAAAAAAATCACTAAGTGTGAGTTTTCTAAGTAGTCACCTTTGGAGCCTAAGGAAAAGTCTGTACTTTAGCTGTTTATAGTTCTGAAAATTTTCAGTTTTCTTTAGAGATAAGAGTCCAAGAAAATCAGTCACTCACTTCAGTTGATTGAAGACTATTACTTCATAGAGTAATAGACTATTAATCTGAAGCCTGGCCATCTTGGTATTCAGACTTGGCTCTGAATGTTCCTTTAAGGGACATTTCAAACACAAACCACACCAAAGAATAATGACAAGATAAAACTGAGAATATGTGAAAGAATGTGCTAAAAGCTATTCCAAATGTATTGATATAATAATCTTTTATTCTCTAAAGCCAACAGCTAAAAATTGCTTGTAAACAAAAATGCTATGAGTTTTCAAAATCAGGCAGTTTCAGGCTAGTCACAACCACAAGGGGAAGCAAGTGTAACCTCTTCACTCCATCTCTACCTGCCACAGCTTACCTAAGTTCCTTCATCTTTCACCGGAACGACAAGGCTCTCCGTAGTTCACTCTTCTGGTCCATTCACCACAAAGCAGCTAGAACAATGTCACTCTCTCTTCAGAACCCTCTCACCCTGTACTTGGTCTGACCTCTGTGGGCCTCCTGCTTGCTAACAAGGCCTCCAGTGACTTCAGGCTCAGAGAACACACTAAGCATATTCCTGCCTGAGGCCTTTGCACTAGCTATTGCTGAGTCCTATAATGTCCTTCCTGCTCTTTGCAGGGCTGGCTTCTTATTTAGATCACAGCATAGACATCACCCTTCAGAAAAGATGTCTCACACTACCCAGTATCTGCCACATTACAGTATTTTAGTTCTCCTCATGCACCTCTTTTGATGCCTCTGCCATTTGGCCGTCACTAGAAAGAATGTAATCTCCTGGAGAAGATCAGTAGTGGCTGGCCTGGTAAACGCTGTATCCCCAGTGCCTAGATAATGTCTAATTCTCCTAGAATGAACTAATAACTACTCTTCTAGATTTCAGTAACATCATTAAAACCTGAACATTTCTAAGTCTATTGAAGCAGATGCCAAAAATTCCTACAGAATTTGTCTATAAAACATATTGTTACTCTGGACTCAATCTAAGACATGTTCTTTTCTTTTCTTTGAGACAGAGTCCAAAGCTGGAGTGCAATGGCATGATCTCAGCTCACAGCAACCTCTGCCTCCCAGGTTCAAGTGATTTCTCCTGCCTCAGCCTCCTGAGGAGCTGGGATTATAGGCATGGTACCACCATGCCTGGCTGGGTTTTTTTTTTTTTTTTTTTTTGTATTTTTAGTTCAGTCAGGGTTTCGCCATGATGGCTAGGCTGGTCTCGAACTCCTGACCTTGGTGATCTGCCTGCCTCAACCTCCCAAAATGCTGGGATTACAGGAGTGAGCCACTGTGCCTAGCCATTAAAAAATACATGTATTATTTCCATAGGTTTTTGGGAAACAGGTTGTATTTGGTTACATAAGTTCTTTAGTAGTGATCTGTGAAATTTTGGTGCACCCATCACCCAAGCAGTACACAGTGAACCCAATTTTTAGTCTGAAAAGATGTGCTCCTTTCTATAGTCTTAAGCAGGAAAGTCAAAGTGCTTCAGACTAATTAATAACATTATACTTACTCTGGCAGAAGTTTATATTTCTCCAAATCAATTTCTGGAAAAAACGTGTCACTTTCAAAGTCCTGCATGATCCTTGTCACAAACAGTTTAAGATGGCCTGAGTGATTCATGGCTTCCTTTGAAATAAAACAACATCAATTTTCTTAATGTATGTCAAAAGACATACAAATTCTAAGATTTATGTTTGATTAGTTAAGTTTATACTAGGTATTAAAGATATGCTTGGTACTGCCAAAGAATATTATTTAAATATCCTATTCTTTCATCTGGGGTGCTGCAAAGTGTGCCTTAGTTATATTGTGAGTAACACTAACCATTATCACTAATTATAAGAGCCTGAGTTTAAATATAGTCTGGCTTCCATATAAGAATTTTTTTTTTTCCTTGAGACGGAGTTTCACTCTTGTTGCCCAGGCTGGAGTGCAATGGCTCACTGCAACCCCCACCTCCTGGGTTCAAGTAATTCTCTTGCCTCAGCCTCCTGAGGAGCTGGGATTACAGGCATGCGCCACCACGCCCGGCTAATTCTTTATTTTTAGTAGAGACAGGGTTTCTCCATGTTGGGCAGGCTGGTCTCAAACTCCTGACCTCAGGTGATCTGCTCACCTCAACCTCCCAAAGTGCTGAGATTATAGGTGTGAGCCATCTCACTCTGCGCCCTGCCAATAATTATGAAAGACTCAGTTTAAATACAGTCTGGTTTCCGGTTTGCTTATAAGAACTTCTTAATTTTAGCATTCTCTTTTATTGTTTTCCTTTGGCTGTTAAAAGAGCCCTAAATTATCAAGATGCTCTCCATAGAAAAATTTACATACACATATATGAATAAGATAGTACAACTTAATGAGACCTTGACTGTGGTAAACCCCAAGAGCATACTTAGTACATATACATAAAATTTAGTAACGCTTCCAATTCTCAAAAGACAATTACAATGCTAGTAGGTAGGTAATTTATCCTGCTTCTTGTTGCTAACAATTATATTAATATTTGGCTTTATATTGTACATGACTTTTCTAACAACTGCCTAAAATACAGTTGATAGTTTCTACAGAAAAAGCTGCCCTGGAATGAGCATCTTAAAATTCTCATTCATAAAAAGTATGTCTTAATTCCAACTCTAAGAAAGCAGTAATTCTTGATCTCAAATAGCCTATAACTCATAGAACTCTTGACTCTCAAGCAATCCACCTGCCTTGGTTTCCCAAATAGCCTGTAAGCTATTTAAGATCAAGGATTACTGCTTTCTTAGAGTTGCAATTAAGAAACTAGATATAATTTTATATAAAAATTTTTTAAAAATTATATAGAAATTATAAAATTTTATATAGATATAAAAAATATATACACACATATACAAATCCAAGTGTGTGTTATTTTTAAAATTCCAAATAAGGGAACAGAACAAGTTTTATCTTCAATACATCATTTTATATTAAATAATTGTTTGCTACAACCCAATAGATACTCTACCAATTCTTACTCTACCAAAATTTAAAAAGTGGAATGCAGTAGTCTCCCCTTATCTGCGGTTTCACTTTCCAGTTTGTTTGTGGTCAACTGTAGTCTGAAAATATTAAATGGAAAATTCCAGAAATAATGCCTAAGATTCAAATGGCATGCTGTTTTGAATAGTGTGAAGAAATCTTGTGCCATTCTGCTGTCCTGTCCAGGAAGTAAATTCTCCCTGTACTTCCTGTCTATGTTACCTGCCCCTCAGTCACTTAGAAGCCATCTGGATTAGATTGACTGTGGTGGTATTGCAATGGTGGTGGCTCAAAGAAATCTTAAAATAAGATTTTATTCAAGGAAATAATAAAATACTTAATAATGGCCCCAAAATGCAAGAGTAATGATGCTGGCATGTTGTTACAATTGTTCTATTTTACTATTGTTGTTAATCCCTAACTGAATTTATAAGTTAAACTTTATCATAGGTATGTATACATAGGAGAAAACAGCATAGATAGAATTCAGTAATATCTGTGGTTTCAGGCATCTGCTGAGGGTCTTGGAATATATCCCCTGAGAATATGGGGGGGGGCTACTGTAGGGCCAACTATGGCAGCATTTGAAGTTCTGTAGTAAAGCTGATCATACAACGCAAACCTTCTGTAAAGGGCCAGATGGTAAATATTTTAGGCTTTGAGGGCCATAGGGTTTCCTACCTTTGTAAGCCACAGACAGTACTGAACGAATGCGTAGGGCTGTGTTCCAATGAAACTTTCTTTACAAACATAGGCTGGGAGGTCTGATTTGGCCCATAGGAAGATAAGCCCAAATGATATCTACAAGCTGTTGTGATGTGAGGTAGGTGGAAAATGTAAAAATATCATTTGAAGGTTCTACTTCCTATTTATCTATATATATAGATTGATCATATTATATAAATGCATTTAGGTACTTATGTTGTAAATGAATACATTATCAAGTGACTATGGTAATGAATCATTTGAAGTGTGGTAGGTATTAAACAAAACAACTTGTTTTCTTAGAAGAAATTTATACTTGGATGGAAATATCAAGGAATAATGTCCATTTTCGTTGGTTACAAATGGGGAAAATAAGAGGTTATAGAAACAGGTGTCCAACAAACTGAGTTGTTTTTTTTTTTTTTTTTTTTTGAGACAGACTGTCACTGTTACCCAGGCTGGAGTGCAGTGGCGCGATAGCTCGCTGTAACCTCTGCCTCCCTGGTTCAAGCAATTTTCCCACCTCAGCCTGCGGAGTAGCTAGGACCCGCCATCACGCCTGACTAATTTTTTGTATTTTTAGGAGAGACGGAGTTTCACCACGTTGGCCAAGCTGGTTTTGAACTCCTGACCTCAAGCAATCCACCCGCGTTGGCCTCCCAAAGTACTGGGATTACAGGCATCAGCCTATCTCTTCTTTCTAAAATAAATTCAATGTATGTATGTTACCACAAGACTCAAATGGCAGAAACTGATTTTTTCTCTTCCTCATAAACATTATTTTCATTAGTGTTCTAGAAGGCAAAAAATTTTGTTATCCTCAAAAATTCTAAAGCTGGAAGTCATTTGGAATTAAAAAAGAGGTATATTTTCTTTTTTATATACTATTTTTCCTTATGCTATAAAATCATGTCATCTTTCTCCTGTGTCCCCACATTACATGCAAATTGACTGAGGAAGTTTTCTGCTTGTAATAAATTCATTTACATCTAGATAGTATATATCTACTGAGAGCCCCAAACCTTTCTCAGTAAGAGACATATTCATCTTGAAAGACAAAGGGATAACTCAATGTATCTAGAGTACATTCAGGGAGTAGGAACCAGTACAGTACAAGTACAATTCTCAGGAAAGGATTTAGAGTGGATTTTAAATTGGAAACATCAATTATTCTCTGATTTAAAAGTAGACTGGTATTAGGGAGATGCTGGTCACAGGATACAAAATTTTAGTTACACGGGAGGAGTAAGTTCAAGAGATCTATTGTACAACGTCTATTATTCTACAGTTAATAACAAATATTTTCTTGCAAATTGCTGAGAGTAGATTTTAAGTGTTCTTACCACATAAAATAAGTGAGGTAATACATATGTTAATTAGCTCAGTTTAGGCATTCTCGATTGTATGCACATTTCAAAACAATATGTTGTACATGACATGCAATTATTTGTCAATTAAAAAGATAAATAGGCTGGGTGTGGTGGATCACACCTGTAATCTCAGCACTTTGGGAGGTCAACTGCTTGAACCTAGGAGTTCGAGACCAGCCTGGGCAATGTGGCGAAACCCTGACTCTATAAAAAAATACAAAAATTAGCTGGGCATGATGGTGTGTGCCTATAGTTCCAGCTACTACTTTGGAGGAGATGTGGGAGGAGTGCTTGGGCCTGGGAGCTCAAGGCTGCAGTGAGCTGAGATACTGCCACTATACTCTAGCCTGGGTGACAAAGCAAGACTCTGTCTCAAAAATAAATGAATGAATAAATAAATAAATAAATAAAAGATAGGCTGATACAGACTAAAATATTTATTTTTGCATTTTTATTTGGTTTGTATGATAGTATCAAACAACAAGTAATTTGAATTGACAACAAATAATTTACAGTACACGTAATGTGCTGCTTCCTATACTCATGGCTTGATTTTTTAAAGGTTCAGACAATGAGTTATACCTGTTCCACCTCCTTTAAATGTCAGAGAAGATGAAAGACAGTAGAATAAAACATTTCTTTTTATTTACCAATAACTTTACTTACCTTATAAACAGAACTGCCACCAATTATCCAAATCATGTCTACTTTATTTGCTAATTCTGGTTGTTCAGTAAGTTTTAAGGCATCATCCAGACTTTTGGCAAGAAAATGAGCTCCTTGTGGAGGTTCCCTGAAGTTAAAGAAAAGAATTACACATAATTTTTGTAAAATCCATCTATACTAGTCAAATAATCTGACTAAGAAGCAGTGATTATAGAACTAAAATCATCATAAATATGAATCCTTTTAACAAAAAGCACTTAACATCAGTATGGCCTATGACCAATAATTCAACCTACATTGTAAATCTTTGGTTCACAATGAATCATAAAACAAGACCACGTGGTATCTTGTGATATCTCTGGTGGAAAAACATCAGAATAGGAGTTATTTCTGAAGAGATGGGATAAAGATTAACTGGGACAGGGCAGGAGAGAACTTTCTGGGGCTGATGGATAATATTCTGTATCTTTGATAGGACTGGGGTTATGCAGGTATACACATTTATCAAAACTTAGCAAATGTACTTTTAAGACCTATGTGTCTCATCATATGTAATATTTACTTTAAAAGAAAAAAACTAAAATACTGAATCATTAATGGTATGAATGATGAAATATTTAGGTGGAAATACACTAATGTCTGCAGTCTGTTATGAAATGCATAAATGAACAAGACTGATTTGATGGATGAATGAATATGTGATGAAACTAGTAGAGTAAAATGTTAATAGTAGATCTAGGTGGTGGGTTTACTGTAAAGTTCCTTCTGTATGTGTGAAGATTTTCCTGATAAAATATCAGAAAAAGAGTGATATGTATGAATGACTGCAGAAAAGCTTGGAATGACATTTAGACTGTTAATATGTTGTTACCTTTGGGGATGGAGAAATGATTTTCATGTTCAAACAATACAGAAATGGGTGTAGTATTAAAAAGTGAGCTTATTATTACTCATGTAATTAAAATCCCAAAGGGAAGAAGTTAATTAATTTCAGTGTTTACTCAGGGGTGGTCCAATATTTTGGCTTCTCTTGGATGCATTAGAAGAATAACTGTCTTGGGCCACACATAAAATACATAACCATTAATGATAGCTGAGGGGCTAAAAAAAAAAAAAAAGAAAAAAAAACAGGTCTGTGCATAATGTTTTAAGAAAGCTTACTAATTTAGTTGGGCGGCATTCAAAACCATCCTGGGCCATGGGCTGGACAAGCTCAGTTTACAGTGAATAGCTTAATCTCTCCCAATCTCTGAAACTATTTTGTTGGTTGTGGTGGGGGTTGCAATTCCCTTTAGAAATGATGAAATATGTAGAACTAGGCTTTCATAGTAATTAGATACACAAGAGAAATTACAATTCAATGTCAAGCTTTTAGCCTGGTGCTTTAACAAGATTATATAATTGCCCTTGAACTCACAGTTATAATAATGATTAATCAAGAACAGGGACTATTCATTCTCTTGATTGCCTCCTCCCTCTCCCTCCTGATACATATCTTACTTATTTCACTGTCATTCTTAAAAGAATTAGGTTAGAGCAAAGACTATACTTTGACTCAGGCTAGAGAAAGACATGGAGGCCAGGGAGAATACACCCAGATATTTCCAAAGGTATCAGGGCAGGTGCAAAGACCAGGTTGGACTAGGCTCTTTTCAGTGAGAGAATTGAATCTAGAAGAAACAAAGATTTGGAGTTGGGAGATAAGACAGTTTAGTTAATATACCGATGACACAGAGCTGTGACAGTTTTAGTTAGTAATTATAGATGTGATGACTTCCTTGCCCTTTTGTAGTGAGTCTAGAAAAGGAAATGAAGAACAGATTACCCGGGGCGGTGGCTCACGCCTGTAATTCCAGTACTTTCGGAAGCTGAGGGCGGGGAATGACCTGAGGTCAGGAGTTCAACACCAGCCTAGACAACATGGCAAAACCCCGTCTCAAAAATAGAAAAATTAGTTGGGTGTGGTGGTGTATGCCTATAATCCCAGGTACTCAAGAGGCCGAGACAGGAGAATGGCTTGAACCCAGGAGGCAGAGGTTGCAGTGAGCGGAGATCGCGCCACTGTGCTGCAGCCTGGGCGAGAGTTTAAGACCGTCTCAAAAAACCACAAACACCAAATAAAAGATAGAGCAAAGTTAGAGATTTAACTTAAAGCAAAGGTATGAAGAATATGCTTCTGTGAAATGTGGCTATTTAGTGGTTTAGAAGTAAGTTTCACAGGAAACACTGGACCTCCAGGTAGGTAAAAAAGAACATGCAAAAAGCTGAGCTAGTGTTTATCAGCCCTTACATGGCACAAGTTCTAGAAATTAATACAGTAAATGACAAATAGCAAGCATCCAATATAGTGACATATTTCACTGCTGAATTTATTTCCTGTAATTATTTTAAGCCAATCTAGACTGGATTCCCTGACAATGGAGAGTTGGTTTGTGGGTAGTATAAGTATTCTGTGTTAAGAAATGTGTGGACATGCTTGATGTTTTTGTGATCGAGTCTTGAGGGTTTGCATGAAGACTAAATAAGACAAGGTACACAATGCATTTAACTGGCAATCCTATGTGGTTCTATCATTCCTTTTTAAAGACGAGGAAACCGAGTCTGAATGGGTAAGAAACCACTGGCCACACACCCAGAAATGACGGACCTGGGAGTTGGAACTCCAGCAGCCTGACTTTGAAACTTGAGATGCAACTTGTTACAGAGACAAAAGACTTCAGCTTGTGCCTGCAGGATATAGGGGCCTCTGATTCTGGGGCCCTTAGACATCAGGATGGTGGGGCTTAGATTAGGCAGAACCCTCTGACTCTTGTCCTCTGGCCTTATCTGATTATCCCAGGGTGCCATATAAACACTATCCCTTTTTCACTGTTTCTGACTTGAAAGATAATAGGACTGCAGATGGAATTCTGGCTCAATTTCCCTGGGTAGTGTTGGGAAACCACTTAAAAACAAAAAACCTGCCTGGGCAATGGTGGTTCACACCTGTAATTCCAGCACTTTGGGAGGCAGAGATGGGCAAATCACCTGAGGTTGGGAGTTCAACACCAGCCTGACGAATGCAGAGAAACGCTGTCTCTACTAAAAATGAAAATTAGCCGCGTATGGTGGCGCATGCCTGTAATCCCAGCTATTTGGGAGGCTGAGGCAGGAGAATCACTTGAACTCGGGAAGCAGAGGTTGTGGTGAGCCAAGATTGCACTATTGCACTCCAGCCTAGGCAACAACAGCAAAACTCCATCTCAAAACACACACACACACACACACACACACACACACACACCCCCCCCGCAAACAACCACCACCACCACCAAAAAAGAAAAGAAAAACCAGACCCTGAAATAGAATGGTGTCTTAACCAGAATGCAAAAATACATCAATTTACAAACCTTCATACTTTTTTTTTTAAACAAATTGAAGGTTTGCGCCAATCCTGCACTGAGCAAGTCTATTGGTGAAATTTTTCCAACAGCTTGTGTTCATTTTGTATCTCTATGTTACATTTTGGTAATTCTCACACTATTTCAAGCTTTTTCATTATTATAATATGTTTTGGGGATCCTGCTGTTACTGTTGTAAGTAACTGTTATCATGCCTTTTTAAGACGGCAAATTGATAAATGTGTCTTCTGACAGCTCCACTAACTGGCTGTTCCTGTTTCTCTCCCTCTCTTCTGGCCTCCCAATTCCCTGAGACACAACAATATTGAAATGAGGCCAGTTAATAACCCTACAATGACCTCTAAGTGTACAAGTGAAAGGAAGAGTCACATATTTCTCAAGAAAATCAAAAGCTAGAAATGATTATGCTTAGTGAGGGAGGCATGTCAAAAGCCAAGATAGGCCAAAACCTGGCCTCTTGCATATAACAGCCAAGTTGTAAATACAAAAGAAAAATTCTTGAAGGAAATTAGAAGTGCTATTCTAGTGGAAACATGAATGGTAAGAAAGCAAATAGCCTTACTGCTGATGTGGAGAAAGTTGAGTAGTCTGGATAGATCAAACTAACCACAACATTACCTTAAGCCAAAGCCCAATCTAGAGCAAGACTTTAACCCTCTTAAATTCTACAAAGGCTGAGAGAAGTGAGAAAGCTATAGAAGAAAAGTCTGAAACTAGCAGTTTGGTTCATGAGGATTAAGGAAAAAGCTGTCCCCATAAGAAAAAAGTGCAAGATGAAGCAGCAAGTTTATCCAGATCTGGCTAAGATCATTGATGAAGGTGGCTCCACTAAGAACAGATTTTCAGTGGAGACAAAATAGCCTGCTATTCAAGGAAGATGACCTCTAGAACTTCATAGCTATAGAGGAGAAGTCAATGCCTAGTATCAAAGAACAGGCTGATTCTCTTGTTAGGGGCTAATGCAAGCTGGTGACTTTCAGTGGAAGCCAATGTTCATTTACCATTCTGAAAAATCCCAAGGCCTTTAAGAATTATACTAAATCTACTCTGTCTGTGCATTAGAAATGGAATAACGAAGCTTGGATGACAGCACATCTGTTTACAGCATGGTTTACTAAATATTTTAAGCCTGCTGTTGAGACCTGTTGCTCAGGAACGAAGATTCCTTTCAAAATATTCCTGTTCATTCTGCAGCCCATGGATCAAGGAGTAATTCTGACTTTCATGTTTTATTATTTAAGAAATACATTTTGTAAGGCTGTAGCTGCAATAGATAGTGATTCCTCTGATGGATCTGGACAAAGTAAACGGAAAACCTTCTAAAAAGGATTCACTATTCTAGATGCCATTAACAACATTCATAGGAGATCAAAATATCAACATTAACAGGAATTTGGAGTAAGCTGATTCCAACTCTCATGATGGCTTTGAGGGGTTTAAGACTGCAGGGGTGGAAATGACTGCAGATGTGGTGGAAATGGCAAGAGAACTAGAATTAGAAGTGGAGCCTAAAGATGAGATGGAATTGCTGCAATCTCATGATAAAATATCAATGGATAAGGAGTTCCTTCTTATGGATGAGCAAAGAAACTGGCTTCTTGAGATGAAATCTACCCCTGGTGAAGATGCTGTGAACGTTGTTGAAATGACCACAAAAGATTTAGAATACTACACAAACTAAGTTAATAAAGCAGCAGCAAGGTTTGAAAGGACTGAGTCCCATTTT